TTAATCTTGTATAACTTAAAGCAATAAGTAGAAATTGGTTAAATTATTTTGGTGTTTTACAGTATTTTCTTATAACTGCACTGTTTATAAGGTAATATAATATGCAGTTGTCCTTCCAATTTAAACAATCAATCATGTGAGTGTCAAACATAATTCGCAAGTCACTGTGTTCTAATTGTAAGTGTCAAACTTGTGTTCAGACATTATTTTATATAGCAGTGTATTGCAGTTTGAAATGCACATGTTGAATAGACATGGCTATCAGAGATAATTTAATTCGACTAATTTGGTAACACCCAGTCTTCAATTAGATGGGTCTGATTTACCCGAAACCACATTTGAAGATAAGTCCCTCATAACGTTCACAGACACATGGAAGCCACCCCTAAACATTTTAGCGGATGCTCTGTTCTGCTGAAACGATACCCTGCTGTTCTTTATCAGTGTGGGAAGCAACCGCCAAGGTAGGATTCTCTGCTGCTCCCCGCTCATCAGGGATGGCAGACCTGCTTGGTTTCAAAACTGAATTTTTATTCAAATAAAAAGTGGTATGTTAGTATTTGAACTGACGGCTGAAGCTGATAATTAGCCTGCATGGAGTCAGCTTTGATTGGCGTTGTAATTGGATTGTCATTGGGCTGAAAACCTATTATCTTTGGCTCATGCCCCATGAAATTTGTTGGAAAAACTTTGCTGCCAGTCATCCGAGCGGCCATCTTGGGCTTGCAAATGAGGTTTAAAGGGAGGGAGATTGGTACTGCTGGGAGGCTCACTTGACTGCGTCCCTCCACACAATTCCATTGGTATTGATTAATGATATTAACTTTGCAGGTATCTGTTCCAGCATGCTGTGTTATTGGCCATTGCTTTGGACTGCTGCTGGTAGAGGAGGAAAGATGAGAAGAGAGGGAACGTGTGAGGTAGTGGAATAATGAGAAAGGAGAGGAAAAAGGAGGGAGAGCGTCAAACTGCGGCCGTCTTTTCATTTGCATTAATGTATATGGAGAATATACGTCTTGTAGCAGTGGGTGTTGTTCGCTTATAGTGGGTATCAAAGCGATTGTTGGAGTGGGAATTGAGTTGTGTCTTAACATACAGTGTTGCCATTTACTCACACACACACAAACAATGTCATGTAGCGGAGTTTTTAGCGTGACCCGCAAAGCTTGAAAATGCATCAAACAAAACAGATTTGCAATTTTGTGTGTGTTTGTTGGTGGCTGTGAGTTTAAAAGGTGTGACAGCATTCCCATGTGCCTCACACATACACAAACGTGCCCTAAAACAATAGGCTGCAGTCATGACGCCTTCCTCAGGTGTGCGTGGGTGTGTGATTGGCTCTCTGCCCTTTCTGTGTTTTCTCACTTCACATGCAGATGGCACTGATACATATATTCACACCCATAAGCCCTTGCGCTCAGCCGTCCCAGCCCCCGGGACTGCTGCCGCCGCATCCGTGTGAGCGTTACTATCGTACAGGAGATGTGCAGAGAATGACGCCCTACGGTGAAAAATATTATTTTCCGTAAAGTTGAGAGGGAGCTCAGCATGTTGGAATGTGTTGGGAGGTGAACGGATAGCAGATCCCCCAGTAGATCCCATAAAAACGTACTACATTTAATAACTGCAGTAAATATACGCATAAGCAATACCATTATGTGGTTATATACCAGTGTGTAAACCTGCATCTTTTTTAGTAAGCAGCCACTATCCAGTGGCTAATATGTTAAAACTACACTCTGACTATTTAAATGAAAGAGATCCCCCAAAAAGTCCCCCCCCAAAAATGAAAAATCTTTCATCATTTACTGAGGGGTGGAACAATACATCGATACGCATAGATCAAACCTCTAACAATACGATGCATCGTTGCCACACGTAAAATCTTGATATGAGGTACCTTTATTTTGACTCTGTTCACATCCTCATGTAACGTCCATCTATGCATTCCCATTTCTGTTTACTCACCATACTGTCTGCCGTTGTGTCTAATCGTTAATTTTAATTAAAAAATAATAACGTTAATTTTCTCAGGTGAAATAGACGAATGGCAAGTTTGACTGAACCCTAAACATTTTTTGTCACAAAAGCCTGTATTGTCCACCGTCAAGGCATTGTAAGTTTATGTTTTTAACAGAAACCGACAAGCACCTTTGCTGTTTTTGAACACAACCCAATAAGTCAGTTTTAGCGAATCAGCGCATGGTATTCAGGTCAGGTGACAAGGCTGCTAAAGTCACTTTGAAAAGATGTGCTGGCTGAGAGGAGTTAATTAAACTAACTTGATGAACTTGTGATATCTTCTTCGTGGTTATAACCTTGATAAAGCAGCATGTTTACATATTACATAATACAGTAATTCAGCAAACGTTTTCACGTAAACATTGTGTGCTAAACGTTTGAATGTGCATGTGTGTAATCAAATATTGGCGACACCATAGGTAAGATTGCATATACTAGGGGAGTTTGGGAAAGAAACCGAAGCCATTCACCTTATTAGAAGTCAGTGTCCCATCAGAATGATAATGAAACTGATATTTCAAGGTAAAATAAAATCCCATACAGTTGGTTTAATGTGTTAATAGACCTTAGTCAGGTTGGATGCCATATGTAATGAAATGCAGATGAAAACAAGACTGTTAGGGATAGACATACAATCTTTTCAATGCTCGCACTATATATAGGTCTTAGATCAGTGGTTCTTAACTGGTTTGGCCATGTGACCCACGTTTTACCATGCCATTAATCCACAACACGCATTTTTTAGGAATTGTTCATACACACACACACACAAGTACTGTCTCACTTTACACAACATACACATAAATTGTAAAAATATGTACCGATGAATAAACAGTAGGTCTATACGGTATGGCTATTAAGGGTGTGCTCACACTTGGCATGTTTGTTTTGATTAAAACGAACCCTGGTGCGATTTATTTTGTTAGTGTGATTCATTTGAGCCTGAGTGTGAACGCTGTCATCCGAACCCTGATGCGTACCAAACAAGTCGACCGAGACCGCTGAAAAGATGGGTCTCGGCCCGCCTCCAAACGAACTCTGATTCGGTTTTTAATGAATTATGAATGCCACATGCACCAAAGACATGTAAACAAACCAAAAAAACATGAAACCCTACAAAGGACAGAATGCTCTCGCACACCTGTTTTTTTTTCTCATGATAGTCATGATGTTGCCCATCATAGGTCGGTACAGGCATCAGCATCGCGTATACTCGTTCAGATCTTTGTTTGTATATGTGACGGAGGAATTTTGACTTCTGACTCCTGTTTTGACTCCTACAACACTAGAATCAATTGAACACAGTTTAGGCCTACTTCTATCCTTCACAGCCTTGTTTTATTCATTTCACAAATTGGCACTTCCCTAACTAAGGTTTATGTATTATACAGTGCATCTTAGGCTTATTTCTGCTTATGTTTTATGAAATTCACAGCAGAGTGTGAAAATTGAGATACTTTGTGATAGATAATTTGCTAGTTGAACTTACACACAAGGGAGCTGATCATAATTGAGCGCATTGGTTTGTGTATTCGCTTGCAAACATGGACACACTGTGATATGACATTTTTGAAACTGAGAGCAGTACATGGCAGTCTGTAACCTCTTTATGCGAGCACTGTTGATCAGCCCATTCCAACTGTCATCTTATTTGCATGCGATGGACGCATCATTATTCACTACATTTGATGTCCACAAAACACATTAGAACTGTTTCCTTGAGCTAAATATTAAGGACCCGCCGTAGCAGACATCATTTGTGTACCCAAATTGTAAAATGTAAATTGATATGTAAGAAAATGGCCCATTAACTTTTTCATTAATGGTTATAATGCATTTTGAGTGTCATCTGTGCAGAGAGAGCACATGTTCATTTGAGACGGGAACTGGGTAGCTCACACAAACACACTTTCGCTCACAGATATTTATTTATTTATTTATTTATTAATTTCTCTGCCCGCTGTGAAATCATGTGTCTGTGTTTATGGTGTTACTATTAATCAAATCAAGTCAGCAATATGTTCAGTAGCACTCTCTGTAAAACACTTTTTTTATATACAATATATTATACAGAGGTTTTGAATGCTTCAGATATTCATAATATTTTATCATGCTTTTTGTTTTCTATCATATAGGTTTGCCAATCAAGAACCAATTTTTGTTTACAACAGGTTGCATTGTTAATAATATTTTTAAATGACATTTGTTGCTGTGGCACTGAATTTACAGGTGCTTCCTCAAAAGTACAAAACAATCATTCATGGAATGTTTAAGATATTGTAAGCATTATGTCGTTTAATCAGATGAACAAGAATCATTAAATTCCTAAAGAATAGCATTTCTTGTTATATTTTATTTTCATAAATGCAAGTTTTATTTCAAAATATTTAATCATACTGTACGTGTAAAGTTCACTTTTAGACTCTGCTGTCAGTGTAAGTAGTTGTTATACATTATAATGCTCATAATACTTGATTCATTGTCACAAATAAAATGGCTGATAATGTTTTTAATGCACTATACTTGAAAATATATAGTTTATTATAGGTAACCGAGGTTACAATCATTTCTGAAAACATCCACGTGATTATATGATTACTGGTAACTTTTTTTGATAGACAGACAGGTGCATGGATGGATGGATGGATGGATGGATGGATGGATGGACGGATAGATGGGTAGATAGTCAGATCTGCTAAGGTGTTAAATGTGATTTTTCACAAGTTTGTGCATCAAAACCACTCCTTTCCTGGTAAAAAAATCAAAACTTGATTTTCAAAAGTCTACGGATTTGCAACAGCTGCAACAGCCTAACATGTCAGTCTTTGAGTAATATGCAATTTAATGAGAGAGAGAGAGAGAGAGCTCTGTGTTCATTTCCTATGTTTCGCCTTCACTCTTTCTGCTATTTAGACACATTTACCTGCTGTAATAGATCTTATATACACAGGTGCATTGTATAGCCTTAATTCCACCCCTTATCCAGGCTTGAGCACATTTAACACAAGTGATTAACACACTTTGATGTTTGAAGAGGATCTCTAACTGTGACCAGTTCTGTTGTGAGTCCACCTCTGTCCTTGCTGTGGAAGAGAGGATTATTTTTAGTACAAAGCAAATCACGGTTCACTGAAGTATGATGACGACATAATGGCCGCTGTGCCGAGGCGTTTTGGTTGGCTGCCTACAGTGGATTTAATGATCTGTTCTCATGCTAATACGTGCATATATGGCACATCCATTGATATGCCTTTTGTTGGTGTGAGTCTTTGGTGTGTCTAGTGGAAAAATGCGAGCGACTCCAATACCTAAACAAAACAACTTTTCTGAGACTGCCGTGAGAGGCTGAGTTACTGTTGGCGTAGCAACCGTCACAGCTCGTCCCCACCACCACCCCAGTCGAAAATGATCGATTTTCTTTAATTTTCTTCTGCATCTTCCACCAGAGAAGGAGAAGGGAGGGAGAGGCAAACAAAAAATGAATAAATAAAAAAGAGGAGGCTATCTGTAACCTATCCCTTCATCCTGGCATGAGCTATTCAATCCTGTCTATTAGATTTACTGGAGAGGAGCAAGACATTAACACATGCACACAGAAAAAAAAAGAGAGAAGGAAAACACTGCCACAGATAATGTGGATGTTTCATGCATAATCTCTAATATGAGAAATGTATTAATAGGGAAATTATTGTGCATTCAATTATTTTGAAATGGCTGGCTGAGATGTTGTGATTTGGCGGTGTCCTGATAGCAGTGGCGCAGCAGGGAGCGCGTGAGTGATGAATAACTTAATCTCCTAATCCGAAAATGGGCAGCGATCAACAGTACAATAAAATGAAAACACCGAAGAATGACAGATGAGAGCTGGGGAAAGATGAGGAAATAAGAAATAGATAAACAAATAGAACAATAAAGCGGACGGTTTTAAAGCGGCATAATTCTGTCGCATTCATTAAAGCCAGAGAGCAAAATAAAACAATGCGAGATGGAGTGGAAGAAACATTACCTTTAATGTGGGTATCGTGTGGCGCGTTTGATGAGCTGCGCTGGCACGGCTCCGTGTCCGCTGTATTCAGTGTGAGTCTGAAGGAAATCAACTCGGGATCTTTAATCAACCTGAAAAAAGCCAAGCTTTATGGAACACAACTAGATCCCTTTCTGTCAGTATGTACAGCTTGTACAGTGTGCTGATGAAACTGAGTGTGTAATGTGTACTGTTATGAATACAATACTGTTCAAAAGTTAGGGGTAGGTATACGTTTTTTTTGTTTTTCTTTTACACAGCAAGGGTGCACTAAACTGATCAAAAAAGGTAACTTATAGGGCCCTATTTTAACGATCTGAAACGCAAGTGTCAAAGCGCAAGTAACTTTGTGGGCGGGTCCCGGCGCTTTTGCTATTTTCCCGGCGGGATTAAATGCCTCTTGTGCCTGGCGCAAATCTAAAAGAGGTTGGTCTGAAGTAGCTTCATTATTCATAGGTGTGGTTTGGGCGTAACATGAAATAAACCAATCAGAGCGCCATCCAACATACCCTTTAAGAGCAGGTACGCATGTTGCATGACGGATTGTTATTTTAACGGCGGGTTTACCAGGCGCGCGCCAGGAGCGTTCACAGCCGAGGAGACCGACGTTCTTGTCAGGGCAGTGAAAGACAGAGAAGTGACGTTGTATGGGGACGGGAGAAACCCTCGCACATCAGCGTCGGTTAAACATTATATACGTATGTTTCTTGCCACTATTGGGCAAACAGGTCTGATCCTTTAGTACTACAATTAGCCTTAAAAAATGGATAATAAGGTTTTTTCATCTACATGTAAAGCACAATGATTTCCCTCATGTTTTAATATTTTTCCTTGTTATAATGTATGATTTGGAAAAAAAATAAAACTGCTGCATTTGTGTTGATGAGAGAATCAAAGTGTGTGCGCGCTGTGCACCCACGACATTATAGCCATGCATGCGTGCTTAAAATAGCATTATGAACAACGCTCAATGCGCCACTGACTTTAGACCAGGTTTTTTCTGGTCAGTGGCGCAATTGTTTTCTGGAAGTGTAAAATAGCACCAGGGAATGTTTGCGCCGAAACACGCCTCCTTTTTGCGCCGATCCGCCGAGGGAGCGCAAGATCATTTCCTAGTTTACTGACGTGCATCTGTGGAGGGAAAAATCCTGCTTTGCACGCGTGCAAAATAGGAATGAGACATGCCTTTGTGTCAAGTCATTTGTGCCGGGTGCAAGATAGAGCCCATAAAGTTAATGTTACCACCATATCTATATATATAGATATATATATGGGCCAGAAGGCGCCTCCTAGTGGTCTAACCCTAACCCTACCCCAGACCTGAACCTACCCATATCCGAAGCGTGTTATATTGACGCTAAAGGGTGCCATGTGTTTTGGATGTATATGCATTGTCACTATATGACCCCCTAGGATGAGAATACGTTGATATATATATATATATATGAAGAGTTCAGATGCAAAAGCCTCTAAATGCCATTTGAAATTTCATCTTTAATGATGATTTTTATCAAACTTGTATATTTAAGTTCAGTAATTTCACTTAAATAACAATTAATAGGTAATTATCATTGCCATTTAAGTGAAATAACTGAACTTAAATATACAAGTTTGATAAAAATCATCATTAAAGAAGAAAATTTCAAATGGCATTTAGAGGCTTTTGCATCTGAACTCTTCATATATATTATATATATATATATATATATATATATATATATATATATATATATGCACATATACATACACAAACACTCACCTAAAGGATTATTAGGAACACTTGTTCAATTTCTCATCAATGCAATTATCTAAACAACCAATCACATGACAGTTGATTCAATGCATTTAGGGGTGTGGTCCTGGTCAAGACAATCTCCTGAACTCCAAACTGAATGTCAGAATGGGAAAGAAAGGTGATTTATGCAATTTGGAGCGTGGCAATGACGGTTTGGTCTGAGTATTTCACAATCTTCTCAGTTACTGGGATTTTCACACACAACCATTTCTAGGATTTACAAAGAATGGTGTGAAAAGGGAAAAACATCCAGTATACAGCAGTCATGTGGGCGAAAATGCCTTGTTGATGCTACACTCTAAACAAAAATGGTGCTATTGCTCCTAGTGCTCTCTCGTCCTTCACTGTCGTTTTTAACGCATTTATTTTTTCATCAGATACGATCTACACTCACCGGCCACTTTATTAGGTACCCCATGTTAGTAACGGGTTGGACCCCCTTTTGCCTTCAGAACTGCCTCAATTCTTCGTGGCATAGATTCAACAAGGTGCTGGAAGCATTCCTCAGGGAGTTTGGTCCATATTGACATGATGGCATCACACAGTTGCCGCAGATTTGTCGGCTGCACATCCATGATGCGAATCTCCCGTTCCACCACATCCCAAAGATGCTCTGTTGGATTGAGATCTGGTGACTGTGGAGACCATTTGAGTACAGCGAACTCATTGTCATGTTCAAGAAACCAGTCTGAGATGATTCCAGCTTTATGACATGGCGCATTATCCTGCTGAAAGTAGCCATCAGAAGTTGGGTACATTGTGGTCATAAAGGGATGGACATGGTCAGCAACAATACTCAGGTAGGCTGTGGCGTTGCAACGATGCTCAATTGGTACCAAGGGGCCCAAAGAGTGCCAAGAAAATATTCCCCACACCATGACACCACCACCAGGAGCCTGAACCGTTGATACAAGGCAGGATGGATCCATGCTTTCATGTTGTAGACGCCAAATTCTGACCCTACCATCCGAATGTCGCAGCAGAAATCGAGACTCATCAGACCAGGCAACGTTTTTCCAATCTTCTATTGTCCAATTTCGATGAGCTTGTGCAAATTGTAGCCTCAGTTTCCTGTTCTTAGCTGAAAGGAGTGGCACCCGGTGTGGTCTTCTGCTGCTGTAGCCCATCTGCCTCAAAAGTTCGACGTACTGTGCGTTCAGAGATGCTCTTCTGCCCACCTTGTTGTAATGGGTGGTTATTTGAGTCACTGTTGCCCTTCTATCAGCTCGAACCAGTCTGGCCATTCTCCTCTGACCTCTGGCATCAACAAGGCATTTCCGCCCACAGAACTGCCGCTCACTGGATGTTTTTCTTTTTCGGACCATTCTCTGTAAACCCTAGAGATGGTTGTGCGTGAAAATCCAGTAGATTAGCAGTTTCTGAAATACTCAGACCAGCCCTTCTGGCACCACAATCATGCCACGTTCAAAGTCACTCAAATCACCTTTCTTCCCCATACTGATGCTCGGTTTGAACTGCAGGAGATTGTCTTGACCATGTCTACATGCCTAAATGCACTGAGTTGCCGCCATGTGATTGGCTGCTTAGAAATTAAGTGTTAACGAGCAGTTGGACAGGTGTACCTAATAAAGTGGCCGGTGAGTGTATATTGAAATTAAATGAAAGCACACGAAAGATTGGTCCACGAACGGTAGCTCAGGTAGTCAAAAACATATGAGAAGCGTTAGGAAACTCAGCATTCATATTCATTTACATTTACACGGGATTAGATGTCTCAGCTGACCATTGAGTTAGCCGAAAAACAGTCATTTTTAATGTGTAAAATAGTAAAACCAGTAATTTTAATTCAAATTTTAATTTGTGAAGGTAATTTGCTCTGGAATTTTCACTGAGGTTGTGTTAGAAAAACAGGGACATGGCAGATTTGAACGGGATTCAATCCACAAAGTACCCCTGTGAAACACAAACTCCTTGGAAACTAGTCTCGTCTGAATAGGGCTTAAGCCTGTGAAACACAAATGTCTCAAACTTCCTCCATTAAAACTAGTCCCATCCGAATAGGGCTTTTTTTATCCATTTAAAAAAAAAAAAAAATTTGGGAGGGGGGGGGGGGGGGGTGTTCATGCTAATAAATGATGTTTATAAAATGCTCTGGTCTTGCAGTGCATATGCTGCTTTTCAAGTGCATACCCACAGTTAAATGTGTGCAGGTCATTTGTATGTTGTCAGTGTGTTTGTGTTGTCCTCTGGGCTGAAATAGCATCTGTTTGGCCCTGTTATGTGTATCTGTACAAGGAGCCAGTGTCCAACCGTGCCCTGAGAGACTGAAGAATGGTGTCATCAGAAGGTCGAGCGTCTCTCTCTCTCTCTCTCTCAATTATATTTTAGTGTGCCATGATGACACAACTTTACATGTATTGTCAAAGCATTTGCAGCTTAGCATGCAAATTTTTCAAAGTGGATGTTGCGTACCAGAATAAAGCAAGATTGGATGTGATTTAGAAAAAAAAAAAAAAAAAAAAATCTAAATTGGTAGTGCAAATTGGTACTTTTTTGGTTTACATTATCCAATAGCCAGTGCTAGCTGTCAATGAATAAAGTTGTTTTGGTAGAAAAGCTCATTAATTAAAGATTTTATTGAAAATTAAATTAAAGAAATTAAAATTTGATGATGATCTCTTTCTGCCAGAAAATGCTCGCCCACATTTTTTTTTTTTTTTTGCACTGATGTTCGCAAGAAGTGCTTTACGAAATAATTTTTATTGAATATGTCTTTTATTGTGTTTTTTTTTTTTTTTTTTTTTTTTCTGAATGTTGGGTGTATTGCTGTGCATTCTTTTAGAAAATGTGACTTGATTTTACACTCTTTCTTTGTTTGCATATTTGTTCTGCCCTACTCTCTTATATCCACAAAGAAGTGACAGGATAACAAGATCCACAAATGAAGTATTTGTTGGAAGTAATATCAGGCTATTTTACAGTGTTTTCCATGAAGATTCTTGTTTAAACATAACTTAAATCATAGAAGTGATCACCTGTTTCGTGATAATCACGTAGCACAACACCATCTGCAAAATGTCACAACAAACCATTATTTTGTCTCTGATGTGATGGTACGTGTGTTTAATTGATAACACTGAAATGTCTTTGCCTATGGCCTTTTTTTCTAAACATTTTTGTCAAGACACAAGGCATTACAAGTGTTAGAGGAGGAGTTTGATGTGCATGTGTGTAAGGGTGTGGAGGCTTGTGTTAGTGTGTTGAGGGTCCATGCGAGGGCTGAATGACAGGCAGCAGACGGGCAGGTCAGGTAGCATGTGGTGTATGGCAGGTACGTTTCCTGTGTCTAAACAGAAGCGTGTATAAGTGTAGCCCTGGCCCTCTCTGACAGTAAGACACCACGCAGCTGCTGGCTTGATTGAGACATCTGTATAAAGCAGATGGAGTTTGAGAAAGAACTGGGTTTGATGTCTTTCACTGACATTTAAACGACAAAGCACTGTGTTTACTCAGCTGACGCTGGACAGGAGACCACTGTAAGATTGACTGCTGGACCTTGACTGACTAGGACTGCTGACGGTCTCAAAAATCCCATTTGTTTCATTAAGTTTGTCTTGCTTCATGTAATCATAACTACATCCCACCAATCATAGCAAGAGCAGACTTTCAAAAAGTTTAGCATTTTTTTACTGAAAACTAGCTTTCTAATGTACAGTAGTGTTTACTCATCTTTTCACCCATTTATTTTATGTATCACAATGTAGTTATTTTTGCATTGAATTTTGAATAAGGTTTTTATTAGGGCTGTCAAACGATTAATCGCGATTAATCCAAAATAAAAGTTTGTGTTTACATGTGGGTGCACTGTGTATAATTATTTTTATATATTTAAATACATACACATGTTTGTATATATTTAAGAAATATTTTCATGTATATACTGTAAATAGATTTATATATAATTTATATTATATATAAATATAAATATTTTATATATAAATAATATTTTTCTTAAATATATATATATACACACACAAAATAATTATACAGTGCACCCACTATTATATTATGTAAACACAAACATTTATTTTGGATGCGATTAATCGTTTGACAGCCCTAGTTTTTATGATATCAACATTTTTTATGTAACCATTTTCAATATCACAAAAAAAAAAAAATACTAAAAGAAAAAAAAAAACTCAAGCTTTCTGAAGACAAGTAACTGGTGATAAAGAAAGAACAAAGAAACTAATTAGTCATATAGGAAAACAATACAATAGATCATAGAAATAGACCTGAAAAACTTCAAGCACTTACTGCATTTATTGTAATTAAATAAACAAATCTATAGCCTTCACTGTGTAAATTAAATATTAAATATACATATATTGTTTTTAAAGTTACAAATGTGATTCAATTAAGAGCACTGTGAGATTTTCCCTTTTTTGATTAACATTAATGACACAGATGACAGCTGTATATGTGGATGCTGTCACTTTAAGACCGACTGCACGGATCCAATATACTTGTGCGTTTTCTTTTTTAATGGTTTATATTCACTTAAGACATGACTGTGTTTACTTGCAAAAACGGTCATTTTGACACATTAGTGTTAACTGTTGAGGCCCATTTAGGCAGCAAAACTAATTTAGTTCAGTACTCGCGTGCTCTATGATTAGCGGCTTCAAATGCGTGCGTCTCTCAGTGCTCAGAAACCATCTCTCTGGCAGCGTTCGCATAGCGAAATGAGTTGTCTTTCGCTGCTTACATCAACAGTTTAAAATCGAAGTCAATGCTTAAAAACTCACGGAAATGATAAGCTTTCCTGACCAAGTGCTGCCTGCATAACAAGGTCACGTAAGCATAACCGTGCATATTCAGCCATATTACCATAATTTCGAGGTTTCAACTTGTAAAAAGTGTTCATGTATTTGTAGAGCTCAATTACAACTTGTAAGATGGGACTTTACTAAGAGCTCCTTCCTACTTGTACTATGTGACCGCTGGGGATTCATTTAGGTGTTAATTGTGTTGCCATAGAAACACATAATTCCCTGTCCGAGTACATGAACAGTTACGACTGGTGCTGTCATATCGAGCCTACAATAATTATGACAATTATGAAATCTGTATAAGTTGACAAATTCCTACCGGTTAATTGTGTCTACCTATATCACCCACCCATAATGCAGAATTCATTTAAATGGGTTAAACGGAGGCAGCTGCAAATACACTCATGTGGCTGATAGATTAATCATATGAAATACAGAAATGTTAACTAGTAGTGGATATCATTTAGCATTGTCATTTATATTATTAATAGTCACCACACAACTGGAAAAAAAAAACAAAAAAACAAAAAAAAAACAGATGGCTATTTTAAAATGGATATTTTTTTTTTCCTCAGTTCTTGCATTTCCATTGGTAAACATAAGAGATGTCTTTCAAAAACATTTATTTATTTATTTTTTTAGGTTTTAGGTCTTTCCAAGAACCCTGTGAAACCTGCTTAAAAACTCCCCGGTGTACAGATACCGATGTACTGGATAAACAAGTACAAAACTTGCCGATATCCTCACCATAATTGCCCAGGTGTGTATTTGTGTCCTCTGTGTTTGTAATTATATATATATATATATATATATATATATATATATATATATATATATATATACTGTTTAGGATGAGTGTGATTTGTCAAATTCTTGTGTGAGTCTCTCTCTCTTTCTCTCTATCTCTATCTCTCTCAGTGCTGCTGTAAATAAATAAAAGATAGGTTCTGGTTATACAGCAGGTCTCAGATGTGTAAAAGCCACAACTCTTCTATATCAGATCTGGATTTGTCTCTCTCACCAGGGAGTGCAAACTCACAGTTGCAGCCTTCCTAAACATAAACACTCTTCCTCAATTTTCCTCCCTCTTTGTCCTTTTTTTATCCCTCTGCCTTATTAATGTCCATTCCTTGCTGTGTTGGCCTAGCAGGCCTGTGATTTCTAATGAACACGCAAAAGACCCCCGGGCAGCACTTAAACTTTAAAACGTCTATTATTAGGATCACTAAAACGCCATTTGTTGACCTTGTGGAAATATAGAAACGTACCTCTTTCTTGATATCTCAACACTTCTTCCAACACAAGAACTGAGAGCTGGTGTGGATTGGCGAGCAACCTAATGTCCGACGACCGAGCTTGCTTTTGGTTGCCATAGCATTGGGATTATTAAGAGATCCAGTGGCTGCCTAGCTGGTTCCTCTTTTATGATTCTCAGACTGAATAAAAATTTAAAAGGCCATTAAACACCATTACCCCCTCCATCGCAGGTGTCACTGCCAGCGATGCAGAGTGAAGTAGCTTATTTTTCTATTAGGTGGAGAGAGAAAGAGAGAGGGAAAGAGGCCGATTGTAAGACCAGTGCAAATGAATCTTTGCTCTAGAATGGCCAAGCGGTCAGACTCTAATTAGCCTGCCCTGCTCCTCTTTATCTAATGGGGCTTTGAGCGCTGAAAAGGGTAAGCCTTTCTAAACACCCAAATGGCTTATATTAGTCTTGCTTGGCTCAATGGGAGTTTGACCATCCTTGAGTGTGTGAAGGGCAAATGGGGGTTTTGAGTCTAAACTTGAGAGAGAACGACCACCGTGAATGACTAGCAGCATGGATGGTGATTTGAGATATTTGCCTTTGTGAACCCTAGGGTTGCGCTGGTGCTGGAAAAATACCCGTATATGTTATATTTTAAATGGTACGATATCATGATTACAACCATTTCAGTAATCGATATGCTGCTGTTCACGAAGTTCACCTATGTGGCAATGTTATCCAAACTGATCGTGAAACCAGAAAATTTGACAACAGAGAAACACGATGGATGGATCAAACAGATAAGACTAACTCTACACAATAATTGTGGTGTTAATATAAAATAAGAGAATATCACGAGTAACCAAATAATGTTTATGCTCTCGTGTGTATTTGTGTTAGCGCTCTGTGAAGAGTATTTCTATTGACAACCTGTTTTTTCAGTGTTAAGCATTGCAGCCTATCACTGACATGTATCTGTTGAGCATAATAGCCAATCAGATGAGTTTATATAGTTCTTAATCCACTAAAAATCGCTGAAAAGTCTGGAGTTTGTTCAGAGAAAGCTGTTTGTTAAAGGGGTGATGAACTGAGAAATCAAATTTTCCTTGAGCTTTTGACATCTAAGAGGTCATCATATTATAAGAATATCCTGTAAGTTTCAGAACTGAAAACGTCCTTGTTAGTCCAATAAAAGCTTTTATTGACACAGCCTCTAAAAACGACTCGTTTTTAAAAGTGGGGAACTATGACGACAAAGAGGATAAAACACCACCCCCACAGAAGATGATCAACGCCTGCTTCACCACGGCAGGTTTAGCCCCGCCCACCGATTCGCGCATTACACACATAAGTATCATACATGTACATGCTTACCTCGTGATGACAAACTGGATCGCTACGGAGCAATACAGAATATTGTGCAGTGCCTGGTTGTGCAAGACAGTCGCTGCATAAGCTTCCTGTGGATTCCAATAGGACTGCATGGATAAAATTTATTTTTAATGACGTTCCAGCTGATGAGGTAAAACATCGTCGTCTGTTCGCTTCATTTCACTGAGGATTGTTTTGTCAACAAGACTGGATTTGCAGACCGATTAAGAGTAAAGAACGGTGCTGTGCCGTCTATATTGGATCTGACAGGAATATTGTGCAACACACGGACTCTGGGTTGAACATGTATGGGCGAATCCGGTTGCCATTTGACAACATAGGTTACGTTTTCCCCCACGTACACCGACGGGTGAGTGAAACTCATTATAATATGCAAAACTGTTCTCCACTCGCAGCAGTGGGTGTTTACTTCCAAGTCTTCAGTGCGACACGCCCATAAAAACCGACTGTTAATAGCCTATTACTTGTTCATTTTGATGTTTTTGAATGCAAAAACCAAGCGAACGTTAGAAGTTGACCTCAGACAACAATATAATATAACATTTAAAAAGCCAGTTCATGACCCCTTTAAGTTCAGCCAAAGCACGTTCACGAATACTTAACAACATGATGTCAATAAGAGATTTATTGTGCAGTGTTGTCAGATTCATTGATGGTAAGTCAGTAAGATGGCTCTTTTATTTTTTCAGGCTGCCTAATTGCCTAATTATGGTATCAATACCGAGATAGTAGATACTGGTATCGTACTGAAGCCAAACTTGTGGTATCGATCCAACCCTTTTCTTCATGTTAATATTAATTCGATAAATAGGTTAATATTTTGGAAGAGTGCCTAATTAATTGCAGTCTGAATTTCAGAGTGCACATCTTTGGTGTAAATTTAAATGTTGGTTCAGTTGATAAGAAGAATAGCAAGTTCACACCATATATCTTCAGAATTGTTGCTAAAGTTCACACAGCTTGATTAATTTGGTTCAATATTGTATTGTATTGTATTGCACACCTCCTTTTCCCGTGCCGGAGACTTTCGTAACTTTTCGAAGTTCGAATAGTTAGCATCCTAACTTTGTTTCCTTTGATTAACTGCTCATCAGTGAGACCCGTGTTCTCGTTGACGCAGGTGAGCAATAGGACCTGCAGAGTTAGCTGGATGTCTCGTTCTTTTGGCTTCAGCCTGGAAAAGTGCTGATCGTGGAAGAGGTGCTGGAGGAGCTCTCTCTTGGGCAGATGGTGGGAAGACAGGGGGAGTAGTCACCCTGCTGCTTAGCCAACAGGGACACACACACAGACGCATTCACATACGGCACACCCACACAGGAAACGTTAGAACTACGATTTGTCATAGTCTTTCATTTCGACGGAGGAGTTCTTTTGTTGTTGGAAATAAGCCGTGTTTATTATTATCTCCCTCTGAGTCAGTACGTTTAGGAGTTCAGCAGACACCTCTTACGATGGTGACAGACCGCTCTTCTTTATCTGACTGTCCACAAGCTATTCATGAAGAGTTACTCTCAAACTAGCCATCAAAGTTTTCTTGTTTATTTTGACAGCTTTAATGCTTCCAAGACAAAAGAAGTAAACCACACATCTTGCATAGCAGGACTTGACAGTAAGGATTGCTTTTTAGTGATAGACTGATATATCAAACAGGCTGATACTCAAGGTAATATTTCGATTTGCTTTTTTTTATTATATACTTTACTTTCTAGATAATATCACTGGAAAAAACAAAATAGTTTGGACGTATTTTTTGTTTTGTTTGTTTTGCTGGCCTAGTTGGTCACATAAAGACACATACAGTGTGTGTTACATTAAAACAGTAACATTTTCATATAAATTAATTAAAATAGACATAATTTAATTGAGTACTGTGAACACAACAATCTACACTAGCAGTAGCTAAACATTTGCTGGCATAAAAAGCTTGCCAACTTATGTAAATGACCAAATGGCCCCGAACTTTCTCACACTGGCCCTTATCCTCATAATTGAGCTCTGCCTAGAGAGAACTGCTTCTTGACAACAAACAGAGAGGGATGCAGATTGTGGCTGTCTTGTCTGTTAGACTGGTGGTATCAGGAGGGGCGTCTTCATATTTGAGATCCCTGTAGCTAAGCTTACGAATTTTGACTCCGTTCCACGTAAACCCACCATGCTGTTCGACACTATCCATCCGCTCCCATATGGTAAAACTGGGCTCCGGCTTTGTCAGGTTCCAGGTTTTTTTTTCTCTTTTTGTCAGCCTTAAAAACAGACAAACACAGTGAGATGTGGGCTAATTACCACAGGCCTTCCTGTAATTACTCTTCCAGAGCAGCAGACAGGTTGGGTACAGACAGATCTGCTGTCTCTCTTACATGCTTATCTGCTGCTCACCAGACAGCTCACAAGTTCTATGTGGATTTGAGGTTCAGCTTGTCCAATAAGTTGAGAGTCAGGAGTTGTCAAACATGGTTATGGTGACATTCCGGTCTTCACAGTCTTGTGTGCCAGTGATTGGCCATGGTTTTTATAGTAGTAGTAGTTAGTAGCACTTAGTTTAAAAAAAGAAGTTCAAGTCCCTTATAGCTAATTCCTCAGAAAATGCTTTTAGAGTTTCGTCAGGAGGAAAGTAATGTGAGAATGTCCTGAAATTGTGTCCTTTGTAAAGGTTATGGGCAGTACTTTGAACAATAACTGTCAGCACTGGGTTTAAGAAGTATTTGAGTCATTAAGCTGCGATGGCATAGCCATTCATCGGCTGATAGTAATGAAGAATGCTTGGAGTTATTTGTATCTGCATGTAAACTGTTTTGTTAAAAGTGGGTGAGTTTTGCTAGCCTGATACATTTATGTATCCCATAGGGAACACTGGCCCACTAAGATGCCATGGTTGCTCTACATAATTATAATGGGAAGGTCCTTGTAAACTCATTAATATTTTTTTGTGAATTTAAATCATATTGTCACTGCCATCATACTTGACTGAGATCAGTCAGTCTATTCAATACAATGACAATCCATAGTGACAGTTTATTTATTTTAAGCTCCAAATATCAACAAAAAGTAGTCCATATGTAAGGAACAGACCTGATATTTAAGTTGCTATTCACTTAAAATTACACCGCCAGTGATCTGTTACT